ATCTCCGTAGCAAATCTCTAATAGCTGCACATTTTTTGTTCGTCTCTTGTATTATAGTTGGAATTGCACTAATCCAATATTTATAATTGTAAAATTTAATATTAACTAATTAAATAATTTAGTAATAATTTTTATATTAAAAATAAAATTTCTTAAATTTCAATTATATAACATATACAAATAAGTAAGATGTAAAACTAATATAAAAAATAATTTTAAAATTTAATAAAATTTAAAAAATAATGCTTATATGCATTATCTCTTAAAAATTAGAAGAAATATTATTTTAAAATTATATTATTTTAATAAATATTTATTTAAAAAAATTAAAATATCTTATTTTTAAAACATGAAGATATTTTTTTTAAAAAAATAAAATAAAACGAATAGACACCCAATCTCTTAAAATTTAAACTATAAAACACTTTTCTTTTCTTTTCTTTTCTCTTCTTTTCCTTTTTTTAGTTTTTTAATGCCTCATTTTTATCTTCCACAACCGCATATATATATACAATTTCACTTTCCCACCCTTTCACAGCCCAGCTTAAGCAACTCTTCACCTTCCCACTTTCCTCATATCCCCTTCCCTCTCCGTTGCGTCTCTGCAAATGCAACTTAAAAAACCACCAAAAGCAGTCGGCTCCAGTTACGGCCTTCTCCACTGAAGAAAACAAGCAGCCAAACAATGGGCAAGGCTTCAAAATGGTTCCGCAATCTACTTGGACTCAGAAAACCAGACCCGCACCACCCCACCTCGAAAACACCACCGTTCCAGAGAGATAAACGCCGCTGGAACTTCGTCAAGTCATACCGCGAAAAGGACGGTGCCACCACTACCACTGAAGCCAAACACACTGCCTCCACCAACAACGCCGCAAAATCCCGGCCGTATGAACGGCAACACATCCAGGAATCCGTCACTGCATCGGAGGGCGAGGTGGATCCGAACAAGCACGGGATTGCCGTGGCTGCTGCGACAGCCGCAGTAGCGGAGGATTCTGTGGCAGCGGCCGTCGTTAGACTCACGAGCAGCAATGGCAGGTGTGCTCGTAACCCCAGGACACACTTTAGCAGCGGCTGTGGGCTGCGGGAGGAGTTGGCTGCAGTTAAGATACAATCGGCATTTCGTGGATATCTGGTATGTCCTACTTTTTCCCATTTTTTGAATTTGTTGCTGTTTTCCTGATTGGTTTTTTAATAACTCCGCCATTGATTTCGGAGAAAGTTCACGGGCATTTACACCGTGTGCAAACGTCGATACGAGTCAGACGTTTTCCGATTCTATAATTCCGATCTCCGAGACTCCGGAGTATCAGAATAATTCCGTTTTCCTTGTTATTTTTAAATATGAAAATACTAAACTTACAATTACCGAAAAATTGTTTTATATAATGTAAGGTAGTTTGTCTTATAAAATTAATTAAATATTTTTTAAAAAATAATATAAAAATAAATTTAAAAATATTTAAGTAATTTTACATGATAAACTGTATACAATTCTTCCTCTTGTAAAACAATTTTCTCTACTATTAATATAATGTCAAATATAGTAAACTAATGATACAATATATTATTATTAGTTATTACTATTATATAAATATTTATGTAATATAATTAGTTATATCGTTTTATAGTTAATTATTTAATTTTACTAATGAGTCTGCCCCTGACCTGCTTAATTAACCGTGTCATTTTATATTTATTTAATTTAATGTTATTGTCACAATCGTAGGTTAATAATTTTAATAA